ATTAAAATCAAAATAATTAATTAATTTAATACTTAAGATAAAAAAGTATAAATTATAAATTTAAAGTATAATTAAAATGTATAATTATTTTTTTTAAAAAAAAAGACAAATCATGTAAAACAGACAAAAATAAAAAAATATAAACAAATTATGTAAAACGAATGGGGTATATACCGAAAGTTTATAATATTTTCTATTTGATCGAGGCAAATATAATACTCCTATTAATAAATTTTATGATTATATAATTTATTAAAATAATGCTATTATAAATTATAATATAATTATACAATCCAAACACACTTTTACTTCTCTCGCTGCTCTTTAACAAATTATTCAATTTAATTTTTTTTATCGGTCTCATAACAAAATAGTATTAATTTCTTCTTTTAATAAGTATATTATCTACATAATATTATAAATATTCTTACAATTTTTAATATATTATACAAATATCATTATATCTATGTTAAACGGCACTAAGGCTATTTTAATAAATTGACATCTAGGGTGTGTTTGGCAATCAGTTGATAACTTTTAGCTGTTAGCTGATTCAATTAGTTGTTAACGTTTAGCTGATTCAATTAGCTGGTTTGACTAGCTGATTCAATTAGTTATTTGTATTAAAGTGTTTGGTAAAATAACAGTTTGATATTGACTATTTATATGTAAAATGACAATAGATGACATTTATATTTTAACTTTTAAAAATTTTTAATTGTGTTTTTTTAGATTTGAAAATTTTAAAACTTTTGTTATTAGTTATTTGAAATTACGAATGTGTTATAAAATATATTTTTTTATTAATTTTAAATGTGAGAAAAATAATAGCATATGTTTTTATTAAGAAATATGAATATTTTTTATTAAAAAATGATGTAAAATATAATGTAATAAAATTTCTGTATATATATATATATTACATTAATGATTGATTAATTTGTTATATTTATAATTTTTAATAAATTTATTTTATTTTATTTAATTTTAATATAAAGATAAAATAATAATATTTATGTTTTATTTTTTATTTTATTTTAATAAATATATACAGTTTATGAATAAAATTAATTATATATAAAAATTAATTAATTTAAATTTATAAAAATAAAATTATAATTTAATAAATAATATATTAAAATAATTAATAATTACTGCAGTAGAAAATATATTTATTTGTATATTGAAATAAATAATAAAATTTTAAGGGCAAATAAGAAATAAAAAAAATAAAATAGAAAAAGCTTTTCCAAAATATTGGGTCATATAATTTTTCAAAAATTAACTTTTTAGAACCAATAAGCTATTTTAAAAAGCTAATTTATCAAACACCTAAATTAATTTTTAATTGGTCAAATAGCTAAAAACTATTAAATAAATTAAAAACTCTTAAAAAAAATAAATAAATAAACTATTTGCAAAACACCCTCCTAGTTAAAAGAATTGAGAGAGTACAACATTACTGTATTTCCCTTTTCCTTGCATTTATTACTACTATCTGAATTAGTTACACATTTATACCCACCCTTGCCCTAATTAAATGTAAAATAAAAAACTTTGGTCGTTGCCCATTTAATGTTGTTTCAATTAAATTGAGAACTAATTCAAGTAGAATGATACAATTATATACATATACAAACAACGCCTATAATAAAAACATGTGTTGTTTGTTCATAATTATATGTGTATTGTACACAAGTATTTTATGTGTTAAAATCAACTGTTGTATATGTTATATGTGACTATAGCATGTGTCGTTAATTCATTTGTTATATTTGTATTATTTTAATATAAAGAATGTACTGCTAAAAGTAGTACAATGTATTGTTTGTTTGTTTAAAACAGTGCTGAATTTTAAATTAAACACTTTAAAAAATTACATCGATATATAACAAAAGATGGTACATGAGATAATAAAAGACAATATATTTATCATTTATCTTATCATTATATAAATATAATACATAAATATATGACAATTGTCAATATAATGCGTACTTTTAGCACATAATAATATATGTTTATAGAATGCACTATATAGATAAAATTGTCACATATAAAAAAAAATAATTATGTGTAATATATGAATTTTTTTGAAGAAATATATATTTATTTATTTTATAAAACAATAAATAAATAAAATTAGGACGTGCATATATTATATATAGGCAGATATTTTTCCTGTTCTCGCATGTTCTTCTTACTGCAGCGATTTTATTCCTGTGTACTAATAGACCATACAATATAGGGTCAAGTGGGGCCCACGTCCTATTATGCATTTATTTTTTTGATTTTATATTAATTTAATTTATTTAAGGGGCAATCCAGCCATGCGTATTGTAAAGTGCCCATTCCCCTCACCCCAAAATAATCCACCCATATAAAGACAAAATATAATTATTTGGGCTTTTTTTAGCCAGGCCCAGAATATTAATTTGGCCCAATAATTGATGGCTAATTTAAGCCTATTTCGCTAATGTAGTCGCGCTTCTTTTGGGCTTTAAAAGTGCGTGTCCATTATTGGGCCAATTGAAATTTATGATTTTTTTATTAAATTAATTTTTTCTTGAGTAATATTTTTATTTAATTGTCAGTAGCCATGTGGATAAAAATAAATATTGTCAGGTCAGGACAAAGTACTAAGTAGTGTCTGATCTTGTTACGACGATATAATTTTTGTATTAAAAATAATAAAAAAAATATTATTTAATATATAAATCTATTGAAATGATATTTTAAATTGAATTTTTTAAAACCCTATTACAACAAAAAAATATATATATATTTATAACGAGAATTGGGGACGGCTTAGTAAATTTTAGAAATAAAATTTAATAAATTTTGTTATTAATTATATCCTTAATATCATTGAATTTAGGGAAAAAAAAATCGTTATGGAAATACTATTTTGTTGTAGTTATATGGTCAAACACGACGCAGCCCAACTTTATATATTAATAAAATATTTTAGATTAAAACTTTTATGATTCAATTTTTAATTGACAAAATACATATTTTTTCTGTCCCATAATAAAGTATTTATTTTTCTATTTTAGTCCGTTTCATAATAAAGTATCCATTTTCCTTTTTTATAGTAACTGTACTATCTATCTAACATTACAAATACCCTTACAACTTACAATATATTACATCATTACCTTTATATCACACGTACTAATAAGGTTATTTTAGTCATTTTTACTTTATTCCTACTATATCCCAATATAATATTAATATTTCTAAAATTACGTGCAAAAAGCAAATGAATATTTAGTTCCGAGACGGAGTAAGTATTTTGAATTAATTTTTCCAATTTTTTTCCGACAATAATATCTATAAATATTATATTTTACAATCTTATAAAAAATATATTTAACATAAAATATTATTTTATTATATTACTTACACAATTTTTTATACTTGTATAAAATTATATATATATTTCAAACCAAAAGACAAAACAAACCGTCATTTTATAAATTAACATCAAACTTAATATTGTTCATCTATAGTACTACCAAACACATATAGTTCAATGAAATGAACTCGTGACTTTACAAAAGTTATTCAAATATGTAATTGACATAAATTTAATGAGAAAATAGTGAATTATATAATTAACGTATATTTAATTATCACTTCTATCTTTTATTTATTTTATTGGCGAAATATATCCTATATACTTGCAAAAGTTGTTATTTTTTACCTCCGGCCATGCGTCATGTTCAGTGACGGAATGAACAGTAAAAATTCGGGGGGCAAAATCGACTTTTTTTTAATGATTCAATGTTGTTTTTTTTATTCATAGTAAACTGCGGCAAAAGATAAAAAGAAATTGGAAATTTTAAACATTTTAGAAAAAAATTCAATAAAATTATATAAAATTTAATATTATTTTACTATAAAAAATAAAATTTGAAGACTAAAATATAAATCAATGGATAAAATTTTTATGACTTTTTATATTACAAAATAAAAAATTAGAAGAGGCAAATTACTATAAAATACATAGTTTGTTTTTTTACATTAAAAAATACATATATTTTGAGGGTTGCGCGTCAGTTGACCCTCCTAACCCCGTGTAGTTCCGCCCCTGGTAATATTTACACGGTGACTGTACTACACGCAGTCGAATAACAGAAATTGTGAGTTTTACAAATATGTAAACTATATTTTGTCAATGAAATAAATAAGGAAATCGATGAATAGTAAATTTTTGGGGAATTCTCCCAAACTACCGCACCCTTAATGTATAAAAGTGCCGAAGAATATTGTTCTGGTCCTTTTCAATCCTTGGAACGTCATTTTTATTAAATCTAAATCCTATGAATATAGATCCACCATCTACACAAAGTCTTCTATCTTATCTTGATTATCTCCATAAAAGCTTACCTTTCAACCTTCTCTTTTTTTTATAAATTTTTCTTCTCTTTGGACGCTCTCTACAAATTATTGACCTTACAATCTCTTTTTTTTTAAAATAAAAATAAATCTTTGGTCTTTATTTTTTTTCATAAAAATCTTACCTTCCACCCTCTTTTTTTTTAATAATTTTTCACTTTTCTAACTTTTTCTAATAAAAAATTTCACATTTTTTCTGCAAAACAGAATCTTACGTCACTCTCCTGATCGAGTTCACACTTAGACCTGTTCTTATGGATTGCTGCAAAGCTCGGTCTGAAAAGATAAAAAAATTTGTTCATTTTGGATCTTTGATTTCTTCTGGTCTACACTTTTTTCTTTTTTTTCATGGATTATAATGTCATTTGTGATTGTGGAATAGTGAAGTTTATTTCTTCTCATAAAAAACACAAACCCACACACAGTATGGAATTATTTTATTATCCGATTTTGGAATAGTGGAATTTATTTCAGTCTTGTTAACAGTAATTTGAATTTATAAACAGTAATTCGATATAATTTATGATTTATATGTATACATATATTTGTATTTCAATAGTTAAATTTTTTTTATGACGTCAAAATCGGCAGCGTTACCGTGGGTAAAGTTAAACTATATTGATAGAATTGTTTACTACTTGATTGATTCATTATATAAAGTCATATTTTAAACAATCTCCATTACTAAACCAATTCAATAACCCAATGCACTTCAATTCAACTGTACGTTCCCATGGCGTTGCACCTGCACCTGCACCTGCAACAGCCTCCTGTACGCCCCCTCCGGCCGCCGCGCCAGCTCGCCGTGGCTGCCGTGCTCCACAATCCGGCCGTCCTGGACCACCGCGATGCTGTCGACGCCGCGTATCGTCGACAGCCGGTGAGCCACCACCACCGTCGTCCGTCCATGCATCACCCTCTCCAGCGCCTCCTGCAGCACGCATTCCGATTCTGCGTCGAGCGCGCTCGTCGCCTCGTCGAGCAACAGGATCGTCGGGTCCTTCAATACCGCCCGCGCTATCGCGATCCGCTGCTTCTGGCCCCCCGATAGCTGCACGCCCCGCTCCCCCACCGGAGTTTTGTACCCCTCCGGCAATGCGCTGATGAACGCGTGGGCGTTCGCCGCAGTCGCCGCTTTGATCACCTCTGCCTCCGACGCTCCGTCCCTCCCGTACGCGATGTTGTCGAATATCGTCGCGGCGAACAGCGCCGGTTCTTGTTGTACCAGCCCGATTTTTAGCCGGAGGGACTTTAGGTTTAGCCTCCGGACGTCCTTTCCGTCGACCATAACTTTCCCTCCGGTGGGATCGTAGAATCTTTCAATTAGTGCGATCACCGTGCTCTTTCCCGACCCGCTCGCGCCGACTAAGGCTTGGCTCTGTCCCGCCCGGATTCGTAAGCTGAGGTCCTTAAACACGGCGACGTCCGGGCGGGACGGATACGCGAAATTGACGTGGCGCAGCTCAATCTCGCCGCGGATTGATTCGACGGGCTCGGCTTCGGGATCGTCGGGATCGATTCGCGTGCAGCGATCGAGGATCGAGAAGACCGATCCGACGGCTTCTCCGCCGCGGACGATCTCGGGAGCGAGGCTGACGGTTTCAGCGACTGAGTTCGCGGTGATCACAAGGACTACAAACACCTTGATCACCTTCGAGAAGGTCGAGATCCCTTTGCCGACGAGATGCGCGCCGTACCATAGGATGAGAGCTTCGGAAGCGTACAGCGCGAGCTGCGACAGGCCAAATAAAATCCCTGAACACAGGCTACGATGGAGGCTTCGGCGCTGCGGAATGCGGAGCTGCTGGCAGAACAGGAAGAGTATCTTCTCTTGCGCGTTGAACGCCGCCACCGTACGGATGTTACTCACTCCTTCGCCGGCGATCATGCTCGTCTTCGCGTGCGCTGTCGCCGTGTCGCCGGAGAATCCTTTCAGAGAGAGTTGCTGTAAAAGTCCAAAAATTAACTCAAAACTGTCAGATTAATCAGCTCTTGAACATCAGGTTAAAGAAACCATTTGGAGAGATGTTATAGCTGGCAAATTAAAGATGATGGCAATGGCGATGATGCAAAATATGACCACAGGATTAATGGAATCTCTGGCAAATATACAGAAGAAGAGATGTGCAGTGGGACAAAGAGAAAATAATGATCAGTCAGTCCAGCCATATTCAAACACTGCCATTGCTGACTGCCTGCCTGCACTCTGCAGCATTTAACTTAAAGGTCCCAGAAAGTTGCAGACATGGTGAAAAGCTTTTTAGTATAGTACAGGTAAAAATGGTCAAAAAGACAATGCCAATAATGAAGAATTCACTGGGTAATATACTAATAAATGGAATTTTTCTATGGTCAGTCAACAATGTGAATTTCTCAAAAGAAGCTTAAAGCATGGAGATTGTGCCTGCAATTTTTGTATCGACATTTCTTGTCCTGTAGTGCCAAGAACACAGTGATCCTATATTCCATTGATTCCATCTTGCTAGATTCAAGTTCAGATTATATTTACCTCAACACCCTTATGGTTAGGGAAATAAACTAACTATCATACTAAGTGAAGATCAAATTTTACCTGAGCAAAGTTTGCAAGAACAAGGAGGGGGAAGGTCCCCAGAATGAGCAGCGAAACGCGCCATTCGATGACGAAAGCGACGATGAAGGAAGTGAGAAGAGATGTCATGTTTTGCAGCACAACTGATATCCTCTCAGCAATGGCGGACTTCACATCCGCTGCATCGGTTGCTAGCCGCGCAGCCAACAGGCTCGAGTTGTTCTCCTCCTCGTCGAACCACCCGACTTCATTCCTTAAAATGGCTGAAGAAAAACAGAATGTAAAAGGATGAATGAATTAGTTGCTTCGACATTGCTATTACAAAAACATCTATGTTTCATTCCATACAAGTTATGTTCTTGATCTTACCGGCAAGCATCATCCGGCGAACTCTTGTCGTAAGATTCTCGCCCATGATGCTAAAGAAGTAGTGCTGAATCAAGTACGCAACCACGGCATAAACACCGGCGCCAACGTAAATGAAAACGTACTCCTTCGTTTTCCTTTCCATAGCCACGGGATTCTGATAATAGAACACATCGATCATGTTACCCATTACAATGGCGAACGTCGGGCCAATGAACCCCGAAAGAACCGATCCAACAGCTCCCATAATCGAATAAGGCCACTCGGGAGCATTCAGTTTAAGCAGCCGGCAGAAGTAACCAGCCGGGGCTGGATTTTTCCTGTCGGTTTCAGCACTCGATACCATCTCAATGCGGCCATCTGCGCCGGTGCTGTAAGAATAGCTCAAGTTTCTTAAACTCCCCGATCGAAGGCTGAGAGACTTCGTCGATAACGAATGACTTAGGCGCGACGATCGAGTACGACGAGTGGACGGATTCGAGTAATCCCCCTTCCCAGCCATTTCTTGAAATCGAATCAAAGATGCATAAGCGCCACTCGCTTTATCGATCAGCTCGTCGTGAGTCCCGGTCTCGACGACCTGCCCTTGCTGCATAACTGCAATGCTGTCCACGTTTCTGATCGTTGAAAGGCGGTGGGCTATGACAACAGTAGTTCTTCCGACCATCAGACGATCGAGAGCCTCTTGAACAATGCTTTCTGAGCCTGCGTCCAACGCGCTCGTCGCTTCGTCGAGAAGAAGTATCTTAGGGTCTTTCAGCATAGCGCGAGCAATGGCTATTCTCTGCTTCTGACCACCTGAGAGCTGGACACCTTTCTCCCCGACCTGTGTGCCGTATCCGTTGGGAAGCAACGTGACAAACGAATGAGCATTGGCAGCAGAGGCAGCAGCCTCGACTTCTGCCGTGGTGGCATCGGGTTTGCCGTAGAGAATGTTTTCAAGTATCGTGGTCGCAAAGAGCGCCGGTTCTTGATTCACCAAACCAATCTGATTGCGCAGCCATCGTAGCTGCAGCATCTTAATGTTCACGTTGTCCAGCAAAATCTCACCTGTTATAAGTAATGTCAAGACCATCGAATCGTTTCAATCTAAACCAGGAGAATCGTATCGCGAATCAAGCTGAACGAAGGCTTTCGAGCATACCTTGATTAGGATCGTAAAATCTTTCGATCAAGGAGACCACGGTGCTTTTCCCCGAGCCACTACCACCAACCACCGCAACAGTCTTTCCGGCAGGGAAGAAAATCGAAAAGTCTCTTAAGATGAAAACATCAGGCCTAGAAGGGTAGCTAAAGGTCACGTTTTTGAACTCGATGTTTCCATCGACCTCAGACGGGCACTGTGATTCAGACAATGCATCTTGACCTATTTTTGGTTTCTGCTTGATTATCTCCATAAGTTTGTATCCCGCAGCTTTACCTTTGCTGAAAGCGCCGAGGTTCGAAAACGACTGACCCAAGCTCCTGTAAAAATCGAACAATCAGAACCTCGATTTCGATCCAGACTCATCCAATCAGAATAAACTTGAAAAACATTGTAGCTATATCGATCGTACATGCCGCCAACAATGGCAGAGAATATAGCAGTGAATGCTTTGCCGCCATCCGTCTGTCCGTTACGTATGAAAACACCGGCGTACCAGAAAACAAGAGCCCACGACATGCACGCGATACCGTACGTGCATCCTAACCCGAGCCCTTTAGCCATTCCTGCCTTGTAACCGAGCTTTAAAGTATTCTGTATCATATCTGAATACGCCCCGAGCGCTTTGGCCTCGCCTACGTAAGAATACACCGTCCTCACTTGCGCAATCGACTGAAAAAAGAAAAGTTTAGCCCCTAAAAAGTAAACCAATCCTACGACATTATTTGTATCTACATCTATAGTGAGCAAAAAAGGCACGAGTACCACTCGAGTGATCAAGAACAGCAATCCCTTTTAGATCGAATGCTTAAAGTTTACGATAAAGTAATTAAAGAAACGAAAACAAATGATCTTGCTCCTATCCCCATTCCTCACCTGCTCGGCAATAATGCCGGCATTCGCATAAGACTCCCGGCTCTTTGAGGTTAATCCTGTTAGAGTATACGCGTATAAGCCTCCGGCAAATGCGATGCCGGGAATCACAGCGACGCTGAGTAATGCCAGCTTCCATGCTGACACGAAACCGACCACTAGCCCGGCGAGAAATGTCGAGAGGTAATGAATGAAATTGCCAACCTACACAGCACAAATTCGACGAAATCAAGGTTAGGACATTATCGGATTTTTCATGCATTGTTTGTTGTAATATCGAAAACCTTCTCGCTGATGGCGTCCTGGACGAGCAGAGTATCTGTGGAGACACTGAAAACGATATCGCCGGTTCTTGCATCGGTGTCGAAGAATCCGACATCCTGTTGTAGTACAGCCTCCAAATACTTCTTCCTCAGAGCACCCGCTTGCCTCTCGCCGGTGTACATCCAACACGCGATTTCTGCGTTCAGGAAAATTGAAATAGACCTTAACATTAAATTCCAAAATATAGTCGTTGATTGAGATTCGTCAGTGACGCCATAATAATAATAATACGAAATGGCTACGCAAACAGTTCTGGATATCGACAGGTGAAGAGGATCGAGACAAAGAGATATAGTTCGAGGACCACGTGAGAATGATCCGTATCGAACTGGCTAAGCTGTTCCAGCTTTGAATGTATTAAATATGAATATATCCATCCAAATATTTGCTACAGCAATCAGAAATGGTGGCGATTAATCAATCACAAATTGAAACAACTTGTTTTTTTTTAATCTGACCTGCGTAGGAAGAAAAGCAGACGACCAATCCGAGGTACACGAAGTAGAGAGCATACTGTCGGAAGAAGAACGAAGCTCAGATCTGATGGTAATGGCGGGAGAGACAAAAAAAAGTTGAAGAATAAACAAAACGAAAGGAAAGAAAACCTTGGCGACTTCATGAGTCATCTTGTCCAAATCCATCTGGTTTTTGCCGAAGCCATTGACCATTTGACCGAAGAGGAGGAAGAAGACAGGCATGGAGGAGCCATGGACGACGGCGCCGAGGCTTCCAGAAATCATCAACGCGTAGTCGTATTTATCCGCGAACGAGAACAGTTGGTGAAACGGCAGGCTCTGCTCGTTCTTTTTCTCCGCCGACGGCGCCGCGTCTGTCGCCTCCGCCGCCGCCATTGCCGGAATTTGGACAGTAATAGTATGGTGGAGTATATAGTAGCTGAACGAAGGAACCGGAAAAGCAATTAGGTTGAAATGAGTGGGGAATTTCTTCTAGGTTGGGTCATTTTGGGCGTTAAGATCTGGGGAATGGGAATATTCTGCAGTTAGTATGAGTTGACAGTTGAAGGAGGTAGGGGGGTAGCGCGGAGGTTCATCAATGGCGGAATTGGAAAGGGAATGGGAGAGTGGTGTAGTGGTCAAAGCAGGGACGGTAGGAGTGAGGGGATCAGACTGTGGCCTTTGCACTCGCACTTATAGACCTCACTCACGTACAAAGTAAAGGAAAAACAAAATAAATTAGCTGGGAATTTATTTCTTATTTATTTTAATGATATGCAGTGCATTAAATACTCGTTGGTCTTAAAGGAGTTGCAATATTTGCTCTGGATACAAATTTTTAGGTAAATAATATTAAATAAGATAATTCATAAATTAGATGTTACCATAGAAAGAAAAATGTATTTCCTCTATCTACTTACAATGTACATATTTAATTTAGGTGGGAACTTTAAAAAATAAGATATTTTAATTACAGTGGATAAATATAAAAATAATAACTTAAAGTAAAATAAATTTACATAAATTTGTAGAAAAAACAAAGTATTTAATGAAAATTTTAATTTATAATTTACATTCCAAAATATAAATATATACTCTGGACGGAGGGGGTATATTTTATTTTTTTTATTTTGGTCATGTGATGAGATAAAGTATGAAGTAGATATTAAATATAATTAATTACTTCTTTCGTCCCACATACCATGTCCACGTTGAGTTTCTGTCCGTCCCACGTACCATATCACTTTCTTTTTTGGAAAATAATTACACACTTTAATCTCATTTTAAACTTTTTAATTTTATTTTTTTAAAATTTTAATTAAACTAATTAGTTATCTTAATTTTAATTTATAATTATTTATATTATCGGATAATTATTTTCACTAATACATTCTTAATTATCTATTAATTGCACATCTCCTAAAATACCGTGTCTACAGTGTAGCAGACACGGTACGTGGGACGGAGGGAGTATTTCCTTTTTTATGACGTGGGAACCCGCAGTTGCTACCAAAAGTGCACAATGGGTAAACCTCGGCCGAACTTAATACTCTGCAAACTAGGTACCACGGAAAAATCAACGGGACGGATGGAGTACTTTCATGGGTATGTTTATTAGTAATAATTTGGTTTTTTACTTTCGTTTTAAATAGTAAAATTTTAAAATAAAATAGTCATTTAATATAATATAAACGCAATATAATAATGTAAAATTAAAATTTAAATAATATAATTTTTAAAATTTAGATGTATAATTGAATATTTTTTAAGGAAAAAATAATAATAATAAAATCAGATAAAAAAATTATGCAAGTAAATATATTATATTCTTTTACTTATGTATAATGTGTACTACAATTTGGTTTGGCAGTATTTTAAGAGAAAAAATACTTGGTCCATTTTAAAAAGTACAGATATTTATTTTGATGTGGAATTTAAAATATGATAATTTTTAAATTATAAATTATAATTAAAAATAGTATAACGATAATTTTTACTTTTGATTTTTTATATAAAAACTATAATATAATCGATAATGTATAGATATTTAAAAATAGAAAAAGTGAAGTGCATAGCTATTAAAAAAAAATACAAAAAAATATTATTTTATAAATAAACAAATCAAAATAAAAATATATATACTTTTTTTGCGAAACGAGTAATTTAGTTACTAATATATTTTGTTGAAATATTCTGATATTTAATTTATTATTTAAATTTTTAGTTAAATTTGGTATATTTAAATTATTATTTGGTCCTATCCGTTTATCTTGTCTTATCTATCATTGATTAGATTTATCCATTATAGATTAGATTGTTTATAGTTGAATTTATCTAGTCTATTTCGTAAATTTATTTAAATATGATATCAAAATCTATTGCCTCTTGGAGTAAATATAGTCTTCCTTATTGTTGTTGGTATTAGTTTATAATTTTATGGCGTCACGTATATGTTTGATTTCAAAATTTGTTTACAATTTTGCAATGTTAAGTGGAAATCTGCAGCCGCTAACCATATGTGGCATGTGGATTTAGAAGTATCGGGTTTGAACCTATACTTTACGATCATAAGTTCATTTACTGGATTTGAATGTGGATTGTATGTAATATTTATTATAAACATTTATCTTGATAATTAATATAATATAATTTTTTAAGTTTTTAAAATAGTCTCTTTGTTCCTTGACAATTTATTATTTTTTTATTTTGGTATGTCCTATAACAAAATATCAATTTTTTTCCGGTAATTGTACTGTCTACCTAACATTACAAATATCCTTTTAATTTAAAATATATTACACAAATGTAATGTAATTTAGTCTTTTTACTTTTATTTCTACTATATTTCAATATAATATTAATATCTCTAAAACTCCGTACAAAAAATAAATAGATAGATAGACATGGGACAAAACTCCATGTAAAAAGTGAATTGATAAATAGATATGAGACAGAGAGAGTATTATTTTAATATATTCTAACTAAATCCAAACAGGAATAATTTTGCACTGTAAAGAAATTAATTTTTTTTTTTTTAAAAAAAAAACAAGTTTGAAATTTTTGAAAAAAAAAAATTAATTATATTTCATCCATCTATTTACCGTGTCTATCTTTAATTTCGTTCTTGTCTCATTTATTTTTTTTTAATTTTTCTTTTTTTAAAAAATTACAGTATATTTTAATTTAATTTAAAAATTTTAATTTTAATTATACTAATCTGTTATTTTAATTTATAATTATTTTTACTAATACATTTTTATTGTGTCTACGTTAACATAAACACGATAGCCAAAACGAAAATATTAGCATTTATAAAAATAAATATTCGATATGACTTTTTTAAAATATTATTATTATTAAATATTGTCCAAGTTTTAAAAAATACTGTAAATTTGTATGCAATCATAGGCAAGAGTTTTTTTTCTAAAAAAAAAAAATCAAGATTGAAATTTTGTTAAAGAATTAAATTTAATCAATATAAAATTTATAAATATAAATATTGAATATAATATTTAAAAAATATATATGGTTAATAAATCATGTTCAAATGTGTATGCAATCATATGTTATATATATATATATTTTTATTTATTTATTTATTATGAGAACCATGTGTAGTAACTAAGACGTGAAGAGGTTGAAGGTTTGAACCCGCTTTTGTGTGACTAAAACTTTGTTTTAATCATAAATATTTTTTTTTTTCCCTTGAAGTATTTCAGCTTTGTTTGAATAAGAATTTTGAAAATAATAAAAAAATTGTGTATTTGCTTAAATGTTTTATGAGAAATTTAATAAGATATATTTTAAAATATAATACTAAAATAAAATAATTGTTCGATAATGGTATAAAATAATTTTAAAATGTGTATATAGTCTTGGAGTGTGTTTGTTTTGTATTTTGGTTTGAAAATTTTTTAATATGAAATATAAAAAATTGTGTAGATAATATAAAAATAATATTAATATTAATATTTTGTATGTAATTGTTAATTTTTTGAATGAATAATATATATATTATATTTTTTTATAATATTAATCAAAAAGTATTTTAAAAGTTTTTGATGAATGAGTTTATTTATTTAGTGTTTTGATTTGAAACTTTTTTTTACGTGAAATATAAAAAGTTATGTTAGTAATAAAAATTATTTTATATTAAATATTAATTTTTATGAAAAAAAATATCCTATTGCAAAAAAGAAAAAAGGCAAAGAAACCCTTTCCCTTTGAAAAATATATATACATATATTTTAGTATTAGAGAATGTGAAAACTTAGCACTATAAAATCAATACGTAACTCCAAAAAATTTAAATCCTTAAAATTTTAAGATAATAAATATCCAAAATATTTAATTTGATACTTAAAAGAAAAAAATTAAATAAATATTTTTAAAATTATTATAAAGAAATGAATAGCACGAGACTTCAAAAAAAAAAAGGGAAACGTACGGACATAACCTAAATATAACAAAGTTCAAACGAACTTAGCGAGTCAAAGAAGTAACTTGCATTGATTGATACCCGACAAAATTCATAGGTGAATTTTATTCTTTGGCGAAAAGACAAGAATGCCCCCACGAATTTTCCATATTCCTTACAAGTCTACAACAAATTCTTCCAATGTTATACATTTTTAGATTTCTTTCAATAATAATAAGGCTAAATTGACCTGGTTTTATGAAATTGTATCAAATTTTTCGTATTTTTAAAATTGCATCAAACTCCCTCGTGGTTTCAAAAACTTTGCATCTAACACCCTCAGCGGTCCTTATTTAACGGTATTTAACTTAAATGCGTTCAAGTTGCGAATAAATTTTAAAATATCAATTTCTAAACCCCTAAAATCACAAATATATTTATTTTTTTTATATTTACCTTCAAAAAATAGTAAATATACTCAAAATTAGGTATTTTTCTCAGGTTTTAAGAGTTTATTTTTACTATTTTTTAAGATTAAATATATATATATATAAAAATAAATATTTTTGTAATTTTAGGAATTTAGAAATTGAAATTCTAAAATTTATTCGCAGTTTGAGCGCATTTAGGTCAAATACCGTTAAATAAGGATCGCTGAGAGGATTAAACGCAAAGTTTATGAAACCACGAGGGAGTTAGACACAGTTTTAAAAGCATGAAAAATTTGGTGCAATTTCTTAAAACTACGTGTGAATTTTGTGCAATTTAACATAATAATAATAATAATAATAATAATAATAATAATAAACAAGTTTGTTAAACAAGTAAATGATGCCCCAATTGTGGGTGTCATTGACCCTTGATTCATCAAGACACATTTATGTTTTAACCATTATAAGATATATATATATATATTTTTTTTTTTCCTCCGATACTAAAGAAAGGAAAGATTACGGTGGTGTGGTGTTGAATTTTAAAAACAGTACTGAAATAGTACATATTTTTATTACATAAAACATATGTTATTTGTAATAAAAACATGTATTGTTTGTTCATAATTACAACATGTGTTGTATGAGAATATGTTATTTGTTAAAATCAATTGTTGAACATGCTAGGTGATAATATATCATGTGTTGTATTTATATTATATTTGCGCATGTTGTGTGCTGCATGTGATTATACCGTGTGTTGTTCATTAGCGCACGATGTGTTGTTTAGCACAGTA